AACTTCGATTCCCCTGTACTTGTGTGCTTGCGCCCCTTGGAGGTATCTTGTCCACGTCCAAGCTTGTAATCTTCATATTCAATAAACACCCCTTTTTGGGACTTTGTTCCAAGAGGTTTGTCCCTTACACAATCGTTTGATCCCCTTTTAATTGTTAGCGAGTGAACCCGCGCGAAACAGGTTGAAAGATGACAAAAAAATAAATAATGAACAATACGTGTAAAAATTATCTGAAGAAAACCCCTGTACGCTTGGAATTATTCATTGCCCAAAGGGCCTTTTCAAGAATAATGATTAAAAATTACTAAAGCAAATTATCTTTAACGGAAATTTCATCGGTGAATAACCAACTGTGAATATGATGGAAATTAATCTCTGTCGATGATTTAGACGGATAATTAATAGTGATATTGTCGGTGATCACCGATACACTTCTATTAGTGATTATTCATTTAATTATATTTTTCTAAATTCCAACAACTAATTACCAAGAAACCAAAACAAAGTAAGAAAAATTAATGAAGCAAAATCTAGAGCACGATGCACGGATACGTTCGCCCCAATGAGTTGGAGCCTGAAGTTCATCCATTTCTTGGCTACGTCCTGTTGGAGCACTACTATCAAATGAATTGAGTGTTACAAGGCTGATAAGCCAATATATGACCCTACAACCTTTTGAACACAACAAATCTCATATGTTGTTCTCTACTGGAATATAATCTTAATCGAACCACTTAGTTCAAGCACCACACTTACCCAATCATCTCTCAATGTTACAACTCAATCATACATATTTATTAAGAATTAACAGAGAAATTCGGCTTTGGCTGCAAGAAGATGAGAGAGAGAGAGAGAGAGAGAGAGGTTATATTTCTTGATCCCAATGTATTAGAGGTACGGCTTTTCATATCATCTCATCAATGATCGCGATTTTTCTTGTTTGATCTAATGACTACCACCACTGTATGTGCTTCAGTTGTTGCAACATAAAAGTTGCTTTTCTCCAAACACATTTTTGCCCATTGTATTGAGTCAACCATGACTTTTATAATCGAAAATAACTTTGTCAATGGTGGTGAAGACAATTGTCAAATATTTTTGCATTCAAACCTGTTAAAACTAATTATAACACCCATTAGAATGTGAGAGGTTTGACTCAATAAACACATAACAATGGCACCATGGATCTGAGGCCTCCGATTTGGAAAGAAAATGACGTAACCAATAGGAGTTCGAGAGGCTTGGCAAGAGAATTTGAAATAAGAATTCAGCATCATTCGAGGTGTTCTTTGCCGATATTCACATTTCTCTATGGATACTAAATTCCACGATGGGATTTACCATTCAGATAAGTATTATTCTTCACTTTCTCCCTAGAAACTTGAGTGACGAAGAAAAATATTGTTGCTTTGAAAATTGTTCAATTCAGTCTTATTTTATTGAAAACCTCCGAGGGATTTCGATGTCGATAATGATCTCCACAATCCTAAATCAATCGAATTTTTGAGATTGATTACGTGAACAAGCAAATGAGAATTTGTTTTCGTGAATTCGCATGATTATTCTTGCTATCTTGATTGACAATGGGTCTTAGTACTTTATGGTTAGAAAGGAATAGG